ATGTCTGATATCCACCTCATGGCTATGATAGGGTCCTAAATCCCATCAAAATTCGGGGGCTTCGTGTTGTCGAAGTCCCAGTACTTGAAGCCCTGACTGGCTCCTCCCCCTGCCGTTGTTACAGCCATTGTAGCTGCCGCAACATATGTCTCAGCTATGGTTGCATATCTGTTATCAAATACTCCATCATAGCGGTCTTGATAGACCCAAACAGCTCAGGAATCTGACTCCAAACAATCTCGACCACCTCCTCGCAGATGATCTCCCTGACTCGATCCTCTGTCAATGTTGGTCCATCCTGACTGATGACCTTGGGTGCTGCCGGGGCACCCTGATCGTCCTGTCTTGATCCTGATCTGCATCCCATCATGAAACGCCTCATAACCACCATGCTGAAAGTATAACAGGAAGATATCAGATAATCCACACAAATGATGGGGAACCTAACCTTAACCACACCCTAGGGGTTGTGACCTCCTTGCTACGTGTATGGGTCCTTTGCTTTCAGTAGTACGAGCCCATACTACCTTTCATACCTACCCATATTTGTCTCAAGTATCATCACAACACCATAACACCATACATAAACATAGTGAGCACTCAATCCTCAATCCTAGAGGAATGCTAAATATCTCCTAACTGGCCTACCAGCCTCGCACAGCCCATCCATGAAACTTCCACCAACCCTGCAGCACTAGTGTATGCTAGACATACATAACGATGGACCATATAGACTTTCGAATATCTGATCCTACCCTAAGCCCCCAATCAGACAAGAACAGAACATAAGGCCAAACCAAACATTCTCAGGCTATAAGATCTTAATTATGTATAACCGTGATGCATACACTAAGCAAATAAAGTAATGATGTCAATCTCATATAAGGAAAACCCTGGGCTAGCAGGCATCATGTAATCAGACAATCCTATCGTGCAATTCCTGAAGATTCCTAACCAAGTACTAGCATGATGTTCTAACATATCACAATATCAAATAGCTGTATGGTATTTTGGGGTCTACTTACTGGCTCTGGCTGATTGTACCCTCTGCATCCGCATTTACTTATTTTGAAAACCATTTAAAAATCATTTTAAAATCTTTTCCTTGATTTGAGATTGGATTCACATGAGTGTTCCTCCAATTCACTCAAACCAAGGCTCTGATACCAACTTGTAACACCCATAAAATTCATGCCAAATTTAAACTTTTAAAAACAATTCAAATACCAATAGTTATTACAAAAAGGTTTCCAAAATAGTTTCATATCAGAGTATCCCAGAAATCCAAATCCAAATATAAGGAAGTGTACAGTAACGTCTTCGCCTTCCCGCGATCATCCGTTGTACCTGAAACAATAATCGATAAATGTAAGCTCGAAGGTTTAGTAATTTACCCCCAAAATACCAACCCCATATAACCATAATCATATCATATAAACAAACACTTAACAACCATGCATCTCGAGTCTACAGTGTGACTGGTCCGTCCGCACCGGGCCTTCAGTCCACCTGGTCCACTCTTTGAGTCTACAGTATGACTGGACCGCCTGCACCGGGTTCTCAGTCTATCTGTCCCACTTTTTGAGCCTCAGCACGTCTGGACCGCCCTCTCGGGGCTTCAGCCTATCCGAACCTCTTTTCGGGCCTTCGACCTGACTATACGCCCTCCTGGACCTACAGTCTATCTGGTCCGCCCTGGGTATGTTGGCCTAAAGCATGAAGCAGGACCCGCCTCAACCCAACCCACATACCAATCAATCAATCATGTGCACATAAATATCATACGCTAACATGTATATAACAGATAATCATATCGATCTAACAGATTACTAACACAGTAACCATCCTTTAACTAGGATACCGACCTAACCGGTCACTAACATAGTATCATCCTATATACCAGGATACCGACCTAAACTAGGTCACTAACATAGCATCATCCTATATACCAGGATACCGACCTAAACGAGGTCACTAACATAATACTATCCTAACTACCAGGATGCAGATCTAGCATATCAATAAACATATCAAGCAAATACCTGGATACAACTCTGATAAAGGGCCGGCCTTGGTGCCTTAGACCTTGTTGATATAGTAAGGATAACTCAACTCGCAATGCCGGTCTGAACTGAAGTACCAACTCCTGAAGTGTTGTCATGCCGAAAATCCTGAACTATCCAAAATAACAAATTTTGAGTCAACATATGCGCTATCAATCCTGACTAAGGATCCATATAGTCCATTTTGTCTTTTTGCTAATTTGGGTCAAGGCCCAAAACCAAATCCATGATCCAAAAGTCCACATATGTAAATCCCATTATTGGCCCAATTTATCAAATTGTGCCCAACTCCCTAATTAGGCCTAAATCCAAGATCCATTATCAAAACTTGGCCCAAATCCAGTTATTCAGAGAGTCCAACAAAGGCCTAGGTCTAGCTACTCCATAAACAGCCCGAATCACGAAGCCCAATTAACAAAAGCCCAACATAGGAAGTATGCTAGGCGTACTCCTCTGGTACGTTGGGCGTACTCCTCCTGATGTTAACCACCATCGGGGTGGTTGACCCAGTATGTTGGGCGTACTGGATTACGCGGGACATATGTGCGTCTGTACCAAAACTCTCCTATGTGCTTAATGGCTTAAGCACTTAAGCCCATATTTCAGATCCATCGACCAAAAGTGTCTAGGAACCATAAAGTCTCGAACTTTGTCACGTTGTTCGTCCAAAAAGCTCTTAATCCATGGTCTTAATCCATTAAGACCTTTCTACTACATGCATGCGACGTCTTAAGCCAGTAGGACCTCATTTTTAGCACTTAAGACCTCTTCAAGGGTCTGAAAAGACAACTTATCTTGTCCAAAATGCATCATGCACCATATTAGGGTTTTTGGGACAAGAAATGGTTCCATAAAGCTAGAATGGCTAGATCTATGCCATACAAGCATAAAGTTTGAAGCTTTTTACCTTCTAGAGCTTCTAGGGCACAACACAACTTCAGCTCTACAAGCTTGCCTTCCTTCTCCAACTATTTGATACAATGTCTTCACCTTCAAGAGCTCAAAATACACGCCAACCCACACTCACACACAATACTAGGGTTTGGGACGTTTCTAGGGTATGGAGGCTGAAAGTGGGGGGGGGGGGGGGGAATGAGCCATTAGGATGTTTATATAGCACCCAACCCTAAATATTAGGGTTTCTTTCTAACATGAGTACACCCAGCATACACAAGTGTACGCCCATCGTACTAGGGTGCGCCTAGTACGCTCAGCGTACCCTTATGTACGCGCAGCGTACTCCTCCTTGTCCTAAAATTAGAACTTAGCCCTTAGGCTTTTCATGGCATTACCCTTCCATCCCCAGGGACTATAAATGACAAATCTTGGGATGTTATACACATAGTCTCCAAGGGGATCGTCTAAAGATATATCATTGTATCACTCAATCTGGATTGCCAATAAGAATTTAAGGCATTATAAGTGTTCAGGAGATGATGTTGAAAGCTCCAACAATATTAGTAGATTATCATTTTTTTAATTTTTCTAGTAGTTAGTTAGAGATGAATAGGCTTGTATCTCAGTTTTCAATGTTATATGGACCATAAGAATGCGTCTTTCAGTTGATATTATTATTAAACCATCTATTTTGATGTTTATGTAATGTTATGTAGCATATCATTCTCATTTCATTCTCTAGTAATCTATGAGTTAATGTAATACACTTATTAATTGCTAAATAATTAACCAAAAACACACCTGCCAGGGAACAAGAACATCATATTAGCAAGAGATGATTGTTAATTAGTAAACAATGAACCAATAATGCACCTATTAGAACAACATATTTTTTTTATTGTTTTTAACCATGTTCTTTTGGCCTTTTTTTCATTGGATTAAATCTCCATGTTGCTTAATGGCCATCCTTTGAGAACATTCTTGTGCCCTATTTTTTCGTAACGATTGACCAACAATCCCAAAGACCCCCAACAACTAAATTGCAATGAGAATACAAAAACTTAAAGATATTGTTTCCAAACCCTTAAATAGATGGAAATATATGTCCTCATTCCTCATGAATATTTAGCAAGCATAAATATGTCTCTAGCGTGCATGGTTGAAGGTTATGTCGGAAATGAGCATAACATCAATCTCGCAAGGAAAATGGTTTCTCACAGACATGTATCGAACTTTGTTATGTTGGGACGTTGTCTTTTTTTGAACAAATTTTGTGAAGAATAAACTATAACCACAAAAGTTCAATGGAATGCCCTTTGTAATAGACTTAGTATACACGTGAGTTGATGATATATATATATATATATATATATATATATATATATATATATATATATATATATATATATATATATATATATATATATATACTAGGAAACTTAATGGGGCCGTGATTATCACGGCCCTAGTGAATTAATTAGTAAGCTATTTTTACATGATTTTTTTAGATAAAATACATTTTTAACATTTTATACTTTTATTCAAATGAAACATTATATTTAAGGTAATATCCATATTCGGGTAATTTGGAATGAAAATATTATACTTCAGGTATATATATTTATTGAAATATAGATAAACGAACTATATTTGAAAGGAAAAAGCAAGAATATTTTTAGTTAAAGGGCATCAATGTAAACATTTTTTTCAAAAAGCACTCACATAACTCTTCAGAATATGATGCAGTCGATTTATGTTTATTTAGTCTGTAGGTCATTTAATAAATATACTATGTTGAAGCTAACCAGAGAAGAAATCTATGTTGCTATATGGACATACAAAATCAAACCTCAAAAAAACAAAGCATCATTTGAAATCTGCCAAAATATGGTGACTACATAAAACAACACATTTATATATCAGTAATCCAGTATTAAATTTTAATGGACATAGTTTTGTATATCTAACAATAATTTTGATAATAATAAAAGAACTTGGAACAAAATGGACTTGTCATATGGAAATATTAGCCAATTAAGTTTACAACCCCAAAAATATTGCCAAGATCCGATGAACTGAAAACATATATTTACTTGTTAGTCTTGTACATCAAGTCATAAACACTTGTATTAAAATCCAAGTTTATTCGTCAACAATTTGATGGGAATAACATGATTAAGGCATATAAAGCACTTACGATCCCAAATCCTGAAATAATCGACAGAATTTACAAAACAAAAACCATCTCTAACTCTTGCAATTCCAGTAGCACCTAAAAGACACAAATTAGATAAAGTAAAAGACTCTTAGTTAACTAACATCAACTGTAAAAAATCAGAAATTACCTCTATGATATTCATTCAACCAACTTAGCGAACAGTTGATTGGAAAATGAAAATCCAAGACAAACTGCAGACAGTAAGAAATTGATACAATCAAAGATATTATGCAAAATAAACACAAGTAGTTAAATAGAACACCATAAACCCATAAAATAAAAGGTTGGTAGATCATAAAATGGAAAACTTCAAAATCATGCAAATGCAAACAAAATCACAGTCAGGCATTTCATCAAACACATACTATGTACAAGAAGACTTAGCCATATCATTTGATATTATTTCAAAGCTTGGTCAGAAATTGCTTAAAATGTAAAAACCAGATCAATTTCTTCTTCCTTGAAAGCATTAATGGCTATGTCCACAGATTGCATAAGTTCAGGGATGATTCTATTTTCACAATGGAATGAACACACAAAACAACTTGATCATGTTGTGCAATAGCTCAACTAAGAACATACTTCTAGAACAGGTTCTACAAAGTCAGGTGGTCAGGACGCCCCTAACAAATACATGATTACAAAGTCATTTAGATTAAAGAAAAGCCCATCATAAAAAAAATGTTTACTATGACCTAGCTAGAACCTGGCCATGAGCAATATTAGGGAACAAATCATGTTCAATACAGTAACCGGTGTGCTTGGTTACCTATATACAAATTTGAAAGAGTAATATTCAAGTCATTATAATTGATTGTAGAGAGAAGGAGAGACCAATACTTTTCATCAGATGAGTAAAAAGAAGATAATCTGAGTACCTGTTACGGTGTGATCAAGTTGTTCCTTCACAACTAAGGGGTTTTTGAATGTTGGTTTAAACTGATTATTGGTAATGTTTGGCAAAAACTAATTTTGATTACTGAGTGTTATATTAATCAAATTTGGAGAAGCGAGTATGGAACTTCCTGTACAATAACTGATTATCGAGATAATTAACTTACGGGATTTGGGCTTAGTGTGTTAGATGCTTTAACCTAATAAATTAAGAAGTCTTCATAGAAACTTTCATGAAGAATTGTTGTTTAATACACATATTATTCAAAACCCCCTTTTGATTCCTTCAAAACCAACCAAGCCCACAAGAAATGAAGAACACAAGATTGTTATCCTCTTTTTTTACATCATTACCCTTCGATTAAACCCACTTTACATCATTATCATTTATTTTTATAAAGTAGAGTGAGGGTGAGACCAGAAGTAAGTAACAAAAGAGAAACCAGAAGCATACCTGCGATTTGTAGGAGAGAAAGAACAGGGAAGACGGGAAGACATGATATGTATCAGACAAGGAGTGAAAAAGAGGAGCAAAAACAAATCAGGAGAGATCTTTTATTGATCATTCACCATTAATTTGAAACCTATACAAAGAAAAAAAATCCAAAATCAATTTCAAGAGTAAAAAATTAGAGTTAGAACCCTAAATTTAAAACCCAGGAAACCAAAAACAAAAACAAATGGTTATAGCGTTGTATTGAGTTAATTTCAATTGATCATTTCTACTACAAATAAGAACTAAAAAAATAGAACCTATTACCTTGACCGGAAACGTCAGCGGTGGCTGAATAAGGGATGTCCACCCACAACGTCAACTGTTCCGGGGGAACGTAAGGAGGCGGTGGGGAAATATAAGTGGTCCTTTCTAAAAAGGAAAGAAAGAGGAGGAGGCGGCAAATAGCTTTGGGGGAAATGGCACCAAAGAGAAGGAGCGTGAGAAAAGAGAGAGTGACTCTCCTTAAGACGATTAATTGAGACAGCAAACAGCTTTGGGGGAAATGCTGGCAGTGAAGCAATTAAGCAAAGCCGCCTTTAAAGTCTGTTGCGTCGATGCAAGGATGATAAACAGGCAAGTGATGCAGGCAGCCAAGCACCTAACGGTAGGATTGTAGGATGATGTTGGGCATGATGGAAGAACATACCATACGTTAAAGCATCTGGCAAAGCTATAAACCAGGAGGTGGCAATTCTAGGAGGAAAACCCCCGGTCAAGTCTTTTGTTAATGATCGGAAGAGTATGATGGAAGCTATGGGCGGCAGCAGCCCTCTAATTGGAAGATGATGGTAAGCAAGTAGGCACATTGGTTGTGACACAAGCACACGCTCACTGTCGTATATGTTAAAAATAGCCGACTCCAGTATTTTCTATTCTATTGGGGAGATAAGCAGCGAGAGAAACAGCTCATCGACGTGGACAAAAGCATAAATCTCTTACATATAGGTAATGATATATATATATATATATATATATATATATATATATATATATATATATATTAAGGTTCATTTGAGAACATGTTAATTTTGTGAGATCGTGAGACCAAATCTAAAAATACTTTTAAAATCCAATATAAAAGAAAAAATCCAAAAATTCTTTTTTTAATTATTATTTTCGTCACTTTAATTACCTAAAAAAAATAATATAAATAAATAAAATTACCGTTTTTTTTAAAAATACGTGAAATATTCTAATAAAATATTACTACAAGAATAACCGGCAATAGCAGTGACGCCTTTAGCGGCGACGAAGACTTTTAGCGGCGACAAAAAACAAACGCGTTTTTTGTCATTTCAATCTCATCCGTCGATTTAAGAGATGATCCTACGACTAGGATGACATAAGAAATCGCGCGTTGTTTTTCCTTCGGTGTGTCGCCGCTAAAGGCTTATATTGGCGATCTGCGTTATTTTAATCTCATCCGTCGATTTAAGAGATGATCCAACGACGTAGAAACCCCACGTTGTTTTCCCTTCCATGTGTCACCGCTAAAGACTACGCGTCGCTGCTAAAGATCGTCGACAATAAAACCCCTCTCTGCTCCATTTTTCTATGTTCTCCCTTCTTTCTCACCATTATCGTTGACCTCATCGGAATTTGACAAAGAACTTCGCATTGCTCAATTTTTCTCTTTTTCCTTTTCCTTTTCACTTCTCCTTACTAAATTGCTAGCATTGATGTGTATTTATATGTGTATTTTGTGTTTGTAGATATGTATGTGTATTTGTATGTATATGTGTATTTTGAATGTATTTTATGTATGTATATGTGTTTTTGTATGTACAATCCTATGTATATATGTATTTTGATGTGTATTATGTATGTGTATGTATTTTCGTATGTATATGTGTATTATGTATGTGTATGTATTTTCGTATGTATATGTGAATTTTGTATGTGTATTATGTATGTATATGTGTATTTGTATGAATATAAATACATATTAATAGCAGCGACGCCTTTAGTGGCGACGGAAAGCATTACCGGCGACATAACTTTAGCGGCGACGTATGGAGCATCAGCGGTGACCAAAGGAGCATCAGTGACGAGCCAACAGCGACAACCCTTTAGCGGCGACATGTTGGACCTTTTTGCGATGACATGTTGGACCTTTAGCGGCGACCTTTAGAATATTCTACTAGATTTGTCAAATATATAAAATATTTTAATATTCTACTAGAATATGTAAAAAAAAATGTATTTATTTATTTATAAATATAAATATTTTGTAGTCTCTAAGTATTTTTTTATGCATTTTTTTGATTTTTAGGGTTTTTTTGTTTTCCAAATAACCCTTCCCTATATATATATATATATATATATATATATATATATATATATATATATATATATATATATATATATATATATAGGTTCATTTGAGATCATAATAATTTTGTGAGACCGTGAGACCAAATTTAAAAATAATTTTAAAATGAAAAATCCGAAAATTCTTTTTTTAATTTTTATTTTCATCACTTTAATTAACTAAAAAAAATAAAAATAATAAAAAAGTTACCGTTTGTTTTTAAAAAAAACGTGAAATGTTTTTTAATAGAATATTATACTGTAAATATTTTAATATGATTTTTAGAATGTTAGAATATTTTAGTAGATTTGTCAGATATGTAAAATTTTCTAATATTCTATTGGAATATGTTAAAAAAATATTTTTTTTTTATTTTTTTGGTATTTCTTTTGGAAAATATAAATGACGAAAATAATATTTGAAAACGAATTCGAAAATTTTCAATTATTTTGCATTTTAAAAACATTTTTTTATCTACAAAATAAGTGGCTAGGATTACGTCTTACGGTCTCATAAAATTAGACCGTCTCACATTAAACTATATATATATATATATATATATATATATATATATATATATATATATATATATATATATATATATATATATATATATATATATATATATATATATATATATATATATATATATAATCCATTACATCCAAATTGCAATTCGATTACATCAGTTTTCAAATACCAAGGCATTATACTTTGGATATTAATCAACTTTACTAAAGAAACTAAAACAAATTATTATTTGTAAATTAAAACTTTTAAAAGCTACTAGAGACTATATTATAATTTTATACTTCATAAGCAAAAATATGTAGTACGTTGTAATGTATTATATCTTATGAATCTATCTAATCTACTAAAAATCAATTTAATAAATTTATAAAAAGTAAATTATAAAAATAGCCTAATTCCTTAATTATTTTGTGGAAAATAACCAAAAAAAACTCAAATTACAAAAATAGTTATCAAAATCGCAGATAGACTTAGTCCATCTGCGATTTTACTTGTCCATTTGCGAACGTACAAGTCCATCTGTGATTTTGCGTTCATCTGTGATTTCCCATGTTTCAGGGGTATAAAAACGTAATTTTGTTTTCTTCTTTCATTTTTCAAACTTTTTTTTGGAGAACTCTCTCTGGAGGCACTATGGATGATTTCATTATTCAAATATTTTTCAAAGTTTTTGTTGGAGTATTCATTTTATTAAAGATGTTTTAAACAAATATTGCAAAGAAATAAGAACTAAATTGATATTTTTTTTGCAAAACTTTATATATAATAAGGTAGTTTCGTACTTAAACCATATCAATTTTGTAGTCAAAATTAAAAAAATATATAAAATAAATAAATAAAAAAAGGTAAAATAGCAGGTGGGATGAGAGAAAATCGCAGACGAGTTCATCTGGAATTTTAGTCAAAGATGGGGGTATTTATACGGAAAAAATGAAAAAAACTATTAAAAAAAACATATGTTAAAGTTCAAGTCGCTAAGCACAACTGTGCTTTAACGACTTATACATTCGCAGTTGGAATCCTAAAATCGCAAATGAGCTTAATCCATCTGCGATTTTCATGGCTATATTTGTAATTTTTTTTTTCTATTTTACACAAAGTAATTAAGAAATTTTGCTATATTTGCAATTTTCTCATTTATAAATGATTAAAGATATATATTTTACCCAAAGTAATTAAGAAATTTTGCTACATCTGAGTTGCCGATGTGGAAGATCAATTGTGGAACACTAGAGATATTTTAGGCATTCCGGGTTTTAAACCATTTTTACGCTTCAACCGTTAGGCTTTTTTTCTTGAGGACTAAAATAATTAACTAATTAGTTAATTAATCATGTTTTTTGGATTTTTATTTATAAATTAATTCAAAAACCAAAATTATTATAAAATTTTGTTAAAAAGCATTCCAAAACTTCAACCAAATTGTCCTATTAAGCAATTCAGTTTAAACCGTCACAAAAACTTGTTTTCTTTCATAAAAATATTTATTAGCTCATAAGACACCAAAATGTAGTGTAAGAAAAAAAGTGTTTAAGTTATCATATCAAAACGAAGGGAAAATGACTCTTGAGGGTAATTAACTTTTGCGTTTGTACTTATTTGGTCTTTTTTTTGTATTCAATATATCATTGAACTTGTTGTTTGTGTTGACTAGCTTTTGACCTGTGATAGCCGGTCAAAGGGTTATGGTGAACATAAACAACAAGTTCGATGGTATATTGAGTACAAAAAAAAAAAGGAAATGGACTAAATAAGAACAAACTCAACAGTTGGTTATCCTCCGGAGTCATTTTCGCCGAAAAGTTAAATGAAATTAAAGTTGCAAAATTATCAAAGACTACAACCTTATTTGGTTATAACGTATATGAAGAGCGTTTCAGAGGGGTAACTTCGTTAAAACATGGTCTATGTTATGTTTACTGTGGTTATCTGTTAACACCTCTTTTCAAAATGATATGATTGTATATGAGAGATATATTTATAAGCATAAACGTTTACCTCAAGGTATATTATGGTGATGTGTCTGCAAAAGCAGCATGATATTGTACATATTGATGTTGTATCTCATCCCATAAATTCGATCTTAAACGTAAGTAAACTTAAAAATCACGGCACTTGTGATTCCACTCGATTGTAGACTTGTCTAAAATTCATGATAAGATAAATTATTAGATTGGAAATGTAAATGTAATCATGAAATGCACCTGCTTAGTCAAGATTCCCCTAATAAATATTCAAGTGCATTTCAAAGTTGTACATGTATGAATAGTATTCTTTCGTGGGTTATGTTTTGAAGAGAAGCAATAATAAATCTTATAAAGTCATTAATACGTGGGATTTGCTGTAAATGAGTAAGGGAAAATAACTCAGGAGGGTAACTAACTGTTGAGTTTGTTCTCATTTAATCCATTTCCTTTTTTTGTACTTAATATATCATCGAACTTGTTGTTTGTGTTCATCATAAGCTTTTGACCGGCTATCACAGGTCAAAAACCGGTCAAAAGGATTATGGTGAACACAAACAACAAGTTCGATGGTATATTGAATACAAAAAAAAATTAAAAATTAAAAAAATAAAATAAAATACAAACGCAAAAGTTAATTACTTTCAAGAGTCATTTTCCCCAAAACGAAATAAGCCGATTAGTTATTTTTAAAAAATTTAAATGAAAACGGCACCAAAATGGTATAACTTGAATAAAATAAGTTATCTAAAACTGTTTATTTAAAATCCACAACATAAACAATTTTGTACAATCCAAACAATTTTGTAATCTCAAACACCCTCTTAGCAATAAAGCATATCACTCCATGAGCATGTTAGTTTGAAAGAAACATCAATTATAGAAATAACATCTAAAATCATGAGACAAAGTAATAGAAGATAAAAAAGTTCACTTCCTATTTTTTTATAAATCACATAGATATCATCAAATCCATATAAAAAATAAAGCTCACTATCCTCAAAACACTACCACTAATCTTCTATTAAATCTAAGTGTACATATTAATATTACAAACTTCTTTAAAACACACATCATCAGGACAGAAAAAATACAGCCTGCTACTTACTTTACTTACCTCTCTTACTCTCTCACACTTACACTCATAATTTATAATAATAATAAATTAGAAACCCAAAAAACTTTAAATATTTTTTTTCTTTCTATATCTAAATCACCTCATATTGCAGAGTCACAACAAACACACTAATCAAGAGTTATGGCAGATTTGTAAATAACACCATCATCATCATCATCATCATCATCATTATCATCTACGGGAAAAGAAAAGAAAATCTGGGTGATTGACATGAAGGCTAGCTAGCCACGTGTCAGCTTTCTGTAAAAGAGAAGTCAATAACAGCTGTTCATTGTTGATCCACAATGGTGCTTTTAACTTGTAAGAAGCTAAACCAAACACTGGTAGGGACATTTTGGGAAAACCATCTGTTTCCCCACACTCGTTTCCTGAAATAATATAATAATGGTTTTTTAATAAAGTTAAATTATAAATGTATGAGAATGTTGTATAAATATATATAAAAGAAAAAGAAAATACAAACCTGCCATGGGTGTATGGAGATTATGAAAAGTTAGAAAACAAGCATCGAGATCTTTCAATGTGGGCCCCATTGGAATTCTATAAATTGGGTACCTAATTTAATCACCACAAAAAGGGTATCAAATCAGATATGATTTTAATTTTTAAATATGACATAAAAAGGTAGTGTTTGGTATGTAGTAATCGAAGAGGGAATGTAATTGAGTATTTGTTACATAGGAATGGAATGGAGGATTCCTCATGTGATTCCAAGGTTGTTTTTTTTCAATATATTTTACTTCAACAACATTTTTCTATATCTATCAAATTACTTCCATTTTGTTTTACGATTGTTGACAACAAACATGTTGGAATGACTGATTCCATTCCATTCCTTTGTGATTCCATTCCATCATACCAAACAGACCCAAAGAGTAAGCATACCATGCAACCGATAACCAACTAGAAGGTAACAAATCGCAACTTTTCATGTTTTTTAATTCGGGGAATTTACGTGCAAGATCAAGAATCTACACAAAAAATAAAATGTGGGATTAATTTTTTTTTTTTAATTTAAAAAGATTAAAAGATTGATGTTGACTTTTGTGAAAACAAACCTTATCGGTCAAAGGCTCACGACCCCATGGTTGATTGCGTTCAAGGTATTCAAAGGAGAGGCGATTTTGAGGTGTTGGAGATTCATTATCATCACTAGAAAAACCTTCTTGAAGTGCAAGATTTTGTTGATAATTTAATGATAATTCAGAAATTTCATTTTTTGGGAGAGACCCTCTTTCGAGTTGTTCATAATCACTACTTACATCACTACTTGAATCCCTAAAAGATTCAACATCACTTTCCTCAATGTGTTGTTGCCTAATCACAATTCACAAACAAGATTCATGTTATTACTTGAATACAATAAAAAGTAAGAAAGAAAAAAAAAAAAAAAAAAAAAAAGGTTATGATATTTAAATTGCTATTTTATTAGTTTCTTGTTCAACATACATTTTTAGAAGTTAGAAGTTAGAACTACTATTAGTTAACAATTAAATTATACATATTGGTTAACATTGGTTTGACAAGATATTACCAAATCAAATTTTAATGTAATAAATTACAAAAGGCTATATAATATTTGAATATGTGTTTCTCATGGTATATAGTATTTAGTACATGTTTTTCATGATATAAAAAAAAGTAACGTGTAATATTATTTCAAAAACATACAAATTTCAACTCTTATCAATAGAATTGACAATCTATGACTTTTTAAATCAAAGGGTATCTGTGTAATTTAACAAGGAAAATATGGGAATTAAATTCCTAAGGCTTAAATGGGAAGGTGAAATCCATCAAGGGAGGAAGGCATTTTGTAAATTCTAATGGATTTCCATATTACTTTGAAACAAAACACAGGATTTTGAATGAAATTGAATTCTATTCCCTCCAAAACTATACCATATGAATACCTTGATTTTGTTGAAGATTTCAAAGGGTCGCTGTATAATTGAATTCCAGACAAATAAGGCACGTAGTATTGGACCACACTATCACTGTCATTCAATATCAAAGGAACTCCAGCGCCATAAGCACTCCATTCCTTAAAAGATTCCCACAAATCACCAAGAACAAAGTATGGTTGACATTCGTCTTGTGTCCTCCACCCTCTCACATCTCTCTGCAACACAAAATCCAACAATGTGAAGTTATTATGAATGATTAGGTTTTCAGTAAACTAGTTACGTGTTTGATTCCAGAAATTCCTTGATTTTCAAGTATGGATTACTTAGAAGTCATCCCAAACATTGTATAAGTTTAATATGGAGATTAAAGAAAAGTATTGTAGATGATTAATCTGGAAACCAATGAGTTGACCTTCTTATAGTCGACGTAAGGAGCATCGAAATCGTCTAATAAGGATATAAATCTGAATCAAAGGAAATGGATGAAAAAAGAATAAACCTTGGAGGGATACTGAGCAGGAACAAAAGGTGTAATCGATTCCAAAAACCGTTCCAGGTTACACAACGATGAAAGCATCGGAGGTTCTAATGGTATCGGCTTCGATGGCTTTACAGCTCGGTTATCAGGCTCCTCGGTGCCGGACGACGCCGTGGATTGGGTTGGAGTGACGTCACTTTGAGCTCGACGGAGATTATCCTGGTTTTGACGATTCCTTCTTGCTTTCGCCGGATTGTAAAACCTATCCTCTCCGCCACGACTCCTTCCAAACTGCAATCCAGCTCCCAACATCTTGTGTAAAACCCTAAGTTACAACTCCTTCAATCTTACCAAAAAAATCAATAAACCGAATCAAGAATGCGATGATTTTCGACGAACTGAGAAATAAAAAAGATTGATTTTGGATCTCTTTTTAGTCGTAATGGAGATACCAAAACGGAGCCGAAACCCAAACTCAAACCAAAACCAAAAACACGTCGTCCGATGATCTTTATCGTAGAACAAAGGTGACCCAACAAGGATTTATTGATTGAGGCTTCGATAACTCAGAAAAACCCTAACAAATTGGGGAATAACCAAATCAAACGATGCCCACGAAGAAATGATCCCCTTTTTATGTCGATTTAATTGTAGTGGATGCCTGAGGACGATTCAGAAGCGATTTGATTTTTGATCTGGTGGGAAAATGGAGGTTTGAGAGGATGAAAGCGATGGGGAAGGAAGAGATGAAAACCAGTGTCCCTGAAGAAAATGGATGGGTAGGCGAAGATGGAATAACTCTTTAACTAATACCAAACAAAAAATGCGAAAGGGAAATATCTTTTAAAAACTTATAAATATAATATACTAGTATAAATCAACTCTTTATTTTACCACCTCTATGTTTTGTCTATTCAAGAAATATCACACTCGTATAATTGTGATTACTTTTATTCCTCCATACATTATGTTCTTAACTATTTGTATCATTATATTGATTTATTTTAAAACATTTTAGATAACTTGTTAGTTATATATGTCATTATCTATGATTTATTATTACATTTAAGGTTATTCCGTCAACAACTTAATCACATGTAACTGTTTTTATATTCATTGAAAATTTATCGATTTCGTTTCACTCTTACATAAATCCTGTTGGTACACATCATTGGAAAATATTTGGATCTTCGAAAAAAAACAATCGTCAGACATTAGAACTCACAACTAAATCCTCTTATAGATCAAATTAACTAATCAAATTATCATACAACTTGACTTAATTTGATTCATATTAACTAATCAAATTATCATATGATGATTATCACATGATAACTTCAAATTTTACAAATAACTAGTTTTTCACAAAATCAAAGTAATTATCTTAAAATTTGATAACATCGTGTTATTGGATGGGGATTAACATTACCAAATCATTAAAATTGAATTTTATGAACTAAAACAGTTTGTGCTAATGTTCCTAATCCAAAATAGGCCAAAAACTCGAAGATTCTACCATCAGATGCATCAACTTGTCGAGTGTCATAATGGATTCGTCGAGTTCAAGGAAAACATCATCCAACTCGTTGAGTTGGATGATGGACTCGGCGAGTTGGCCCTGACAGAATCCCGAAATGCAGTTTTTCAGCTTTGAAAATTACACAATTGCATCAATACAATAGAAAATACCCATGACTCTGATACCACTGTTGGGTTTTATGTACTCTAACATTTCTATGGTGCACATACAACCCTAATGCTTTGGATCTAAGTTTTCTATAATTATACATGCAACATTGGTTTCCAAAGCATGAAGCCTAAACTAGCATACAAAATTTGATACATGAATCATAATTCTAGTTAGAAGATTACCTTTTGATGTAGCTAGTAAGACTTTGGCCTTATGAGAACTTAGCATCCAAAGTGTTGTGCCTTAAACAAGTCACAAACACCAATAAATAACTAGATGGATATGAGAGAGATTTTGGAGACTAGAAATCAAATTCTACTTCTTGGAATGCAAGGTTGTACGATTTTAGCTTTTATATATATATATATATATATATATATATATATATATATATATATATATGTGTGTGTGTGTGTGTGTGTGTGTGTGTGTGTGTGGAATCTCAAGGGTCATGTGTAACCCTAATCCACACATATAAGCCTATGATCCATCCATTTAATTTGGATAAATACTTCATGGACTAACCCATAAGCCTATCACAAATCAAATCATGGATCATTAGCTTAACTCATATGTGTCATTTTAATTAGTCTTTTCTAATCACTAAATTAATTCTTGATCAATACTAATTAAATAATGTGATTCCTCAAATAATATATTATACTTATAATATATTAATAAATCATAAATAACCTCTTACTCAAATATCCATCTATCAAATTGTTCTAGTGAAGGCAACCCGAAATAGACCATGCTACTATCGGGTCAAGTACATACCAATTATAGTTATGGGATTAAACACCTAACCCAACAGTCTTTCACTTGAATAAGTCTAATAACTATAATTGTCAATGCAACTTAAATTCCGATTAGCAATCGTAGCTCTCAAAAATATGTTGTCGAACTCTGATATGTCCATTAGATAAGTGATCATATAATCATTTGTTCTACAAGATACCGTGTGGAGAAAGACATGGAATAAAGTCATGCTCATTGTCCAATAGTCTGTTTCCCGGTTTCTGGTTTGTTTGACATAGAACTTAATTGAACACATCAATTGAGTCCTGACTGGGCCCGACACATAAGTCAAAACAAAATCATCGAGGGGCCCAACATATCACTTTTAATCCTCTTAGGTTAAAAGGAACAAATAAACCTTGACCTATATGCTTGTACTAACTATTCGTTGAATCATACACAATAGCACGTTTTATAACATCGAGTTACCGATGCGTTTGCGTACTATCAATGTACAACGAACTCATAATCAACAACTCATATATCTTAGTTTGAAGACCATACGATATTATCATCTCATAATCACTAGTGATAAATTCCATGAAGTGATTCATGTGAGTGTGGGTTTAATTTAATACTCAAATCTTATTTCAATAGCACTCATGAATGTTTGTAGCAAACTTTGCAATGTCTAACACATTGGACAATGTCACACCCCAAAAATAAGAACGGCGGAAATGTTCTGCGGGCGAAGGACGTCATAGTATCATAACAATGCAAAGTAGTAAACAAGCAACAACATCATCCATTGCATTAATAGTAAAGTTTTAATACATGTGTGTTCTTTGTAATGTAATAGACACCAAAAATGAATGATTCAAAATAAAAGACGAATCTTGCCTGTGCTTCGTCTTCTCAAAACTTGTCACCGGTATCTGTCTACTGATGACCTGATAATACAAGTTATTTTGAAAGCGTAGACCAACATTTATGCTGGTGAATTCATAAGTATTTTAGTGTCTTTGATTTGTAAAACTGTAAAGAAAAGACTTGTAAATGTTTTATGAAAAAGTTCGTATAAGTATGAAAACCCTATAGGAAATCCCATATTTCCTACTAGTATAAAATGTAGTCTTCTACCAAGACCCGACAGTTTTGGAGGTTTGCTTCTCCGTATGAATGAAGGCTTTTCCCCATGTACAACTATTATTTATCAAAATATAGTCTACCTCATCATTTATGTGAATGCGTCACAACATAAAAGTAAAAGGGAAAATTATATAATCATTGAAATTGTTTATGTGAATGTGTCACAAAATATATTATACCTCATCGTTTATGTGAACGTGTCACAAAATAAAGGTAAATAAGAAATCGTATCCATTTGTCTAGGATAAACACGGCATAGTAACTCGCCGAATATTACAACCGTAGACATCCATCAATGTGCATTTTCCCATTGTAGCTAACAGCCGGGTGTAGAATGGTTAGTCTCGTATCGTATGTAATAGTATCTCTTCATATAGTATGTAATAGTATCTCTTCATATAGTATGTAATAGTATCTCTTCATATAGTATGTAATAGATTTGTATAGACTCATGAATGAACTGACTCTTGTATGTTCCAGTTGTACTAGGAATAACAAGTAGTATCTCATAAACTATACCTATTATAGTTTACTAGTAATGTAGTTTGAAGTGTCCATGTATGTTTATACACTTTTGCTATACAAAGTGTTGGAGTTGAAGTCACAGTTATCTTATCAATATATATATATATAGAGGTTTTTAAGAATACATAAGGGGAAAATAGGTTTTGTAATACATTTAAAGGGTTTGAAACAATAAATAATCATGACTTGATGTGAGTTTATAAAACGATTTAAAAGTAGTTTGTTTGATAAAACGGTTTGAAAGTATAGTAAAGCCATATGTTTGATACTTATTAATCACATGTGATTGATATAATAACTATGATATTCAACTTGTATTCCCCCATAAAAGCATTTAAAAGTATTTAAAAGGTCGATTAATGGGTATGAACTCACCTGAAATGAGTGATGTGATAGTAGGATCGGTAAAGGATGCTAAGTGTCAAGTGAGGACTTGAGCACACACAGATCCTATTTAACATATAAAGACACATATATGCTTACAATTAGTGTTTATAACAACTAATTAGGTAATGGAACAACCTTAAGGACTAGGAAACACGTGTACTAAAGTGTTAAACCACATAGGGTTGCACATAAGGGGGTGTAGGGCCTTACTTGGGAGTTTATGGCCCATATGGTATGCACCACATGAGTTTACAACCCAAAGACCCTTTCCTCATGAGTTTATGGCCGTAAACTCATGGTACTAAGTATCAAGTTGTGGTTTAAGGTCTTATAAGCCAATATGAAGTGTTCTATGATCAAGTCTAAGCCCTAGGAAGGAATGGTGGCATCATTGCACCACTAACTAGTGTTCACGACCTAAGGACCATTTCCCCATGAGTTTACGACTGTAAACTCATGGTACCATGTACCAAATCAAAGTCTAAGGTCCCTATCTTATGATAGAAGTGTTCTAGACTTTATCCTAAGGCTTGAGAAGAGCTTAGGGCTCATTTGGACCCTTAAATAGAGTTTACGGCCCAAGAAGGTTCCTTGGCCGTAAACTCCCTTTTGATCATCATTTCTTGATGATTTCTAAGTGTAATCTAGTTGATTTAAGCATAGAACAAGCTAACACAAGAGTACTTACTGTGTAGAAGCTTGAAAGGGTGCTTAAGGCTCAAGAACACTAGTGTGTGTTCTTGGTGAAATGAAGAACACTTGATTATCTATCAAATGAAGAGATTTAATGGATGAAATCATTAACAAACATTAGATAATGAAGTTTACTAACAAATCAAGGAAGAAAATACTTACTAAGCTAAAGATCTAGTGATGATACTTGAGAGAGAATGAGGTTAAGGACTTGAAAATGGTTGAAAATGACAAAAATGGCTAAGTGCCACTTATATAGTCCTTAGGGTTTACGTCCCCAATACCATTTGGGCCGTAAACTCCAAACTCTTGGAGTTTTGGAACTTAAATATTGCATACTTTACCCTAAAGTATCCTCTCTCCAATTATCTCTTTCAGTATTAGGCTTTAAAACACTCAAACTGACTCCAAAACTGCAAAAATTTAGCAATTGAAAGTTTGACTTTGATTGAATGCAGGGATTGTTATAAGATAGAAATTTCGAGTTGTCATAGATAATCTTACAAAAATTCATTCATGACAGTCTGCTTTCATAACCTACCTCCAAAGTATGATCGATTGTGGATAGTTTGAATAGTCTTATTATTCTAGAAGTCAAAACATGCAAAATGAAACAATAGTAAACAATTGACACAAGATAGTAACTTTACTTATAAATAAAACTTCTTTTATTCAATCATCAATGTCAATTACAATTTAGCTATTACAAGTTTCTAAATGTCTATCTAATAATTAAAACTAATATTGTCCTTCAACCCGATTCTCTTA